CTTTTTACACATTGTCATAATTGTGTGTAGAATTCTGAGGAAAGGGATAAGTTTAATAACATTTGGAATAAGGCAGTAACATAACAAAAAGTGGAACGGGTGAACTGTGAATACGTTCTGGATGCACTGTACGAGCTTCACTTTCTGAAATGATTGATAAAAAAGTGTAACTTTCATGAAATTCTAATGATTTTAGATGCACCTGTATGTCTCCAACATTAAGAGAAACCTGGAATCTAGAGGTCTTCTGCTTCCTAAGACACATCAACCATTACCAGTAATTAGAACAACTTTTTAATTACCTGGGATAATGATTTCCAAAGAGCTGACCCATAACCTGGACCCGGACCAAGTATCCCAACAGTGGATAGACCGTGATCATTTGAAACAGCAGCAGGAATCGAGCCACGAACACCAACACGTCGCTGCAGGGGAAGTTATCTAAAAAGTTCTGTAAGAAAGAAACCACAGCGTTGGTGCGTCTCACGCTGCAGTTACTGTAGCAAGAAAAGGAAAATGATGCCATCTGGTGCCATCCTTTAAAAAAAAAAAACTTTATACTGTATAAGCTTATACAGCTACAAACATGCGATCTTCCTCTTAAAAATAAAAAAAGATCTCATGTGAGATCATGGAGCACAAAACATCTATTTATTATTATTTATATATATAATTTATATTTATTTGGGTTTCACGTGCAAGGGTTGTGTGCTTTGGGAGAGGTGGTTGTTATAAAAGGTGCTCGACAACTACTTTGTTTGCATTTCCCATTTTAACATTTAAACAAAGGAAAAAAATAGCCTGAACGCAAAACAAAATACATAAATAAACCAACAACAACAACAAAACAAGTGGAACGCCGATGTCCATCGATGAAAGATTTGAATAGTGAATGTTTGTAGTTTTTGGAGACGAGTGTTTTTCCTAACTGGAATTGAACAGGGAACACAAGTAAACAATGCTTTGTTGCTAAATATTCAGGGGGGTTGGAGTTACACTGTAGAAAATAAAGATGTAGCTTTTTATGCATATCTAAGGCAGCACAGTTTGACGGATTCTGGCGAGTGGAGGGATCGACTTTATCCACCAGCAGGCACAAAGGCGGAGCCAGGGGGTGGCCAGTGGTGGCTTTGGCAACGTAGATTAATATTCAGCGACAGCGCCATTTGAGGGAACTACACCTTTATAACGATAAAATTATAGCTTTATAAAAACTAGAAAGTATAGTTTCTTCAAATGACAGGAGTGGTCGGTTTACACACACACACACACAGTGGTGGACATTTTGGATTTTGACATGGCAGCCTTTCTTACACCTAGATGCAGCTACACACCAAAAAGGAAGACGCTACCTCACTCAATTACTAAGTTATCATGCTCACGATGAGTACGGAAGGTGGACGGAGGGTACTTCCCCATCTTCCTTTTTGCTCTGCAACAGAGGACAACAACTAAAAAAAAGTGTCTCTTACTGGTTCAATGCACTCCTTGGAAAGAGGAGGTGATGGAAATGTAGCAAAGATCAGAACCCCCACGTACAGATAAGTCAGCCCAACAAGAACGTACGCCACAGACAGGTCCCGGACCTGAAAACGTTCAAAACACAAACACGAATTAATTCAGGATTGCTCTAGTTTTAGTTATACGATAGTTTTCAGTGCTTTTGTTATGCATGCAAAAAGCACCTGGAATTTTTGCATGCTTCTTTTGTAGCGTACCCTTACATGATTTTTTTTGTGGTCTCGCTATAAAATAAACCAAGAAGTCAACTCCAAAGGAAATTAAAATGTAGACAGGAGGTTCACCTTAACAATTTATTGTATATTAATTCATTTATTTTCTTTCGCTTTGCCAAAATGAACAAGTAGAACAGCGTTAGAGACAAACGGCACAGATTCAGCAAACTTACGTTGTTTTCTTGGCATTTATTGCTCTTCATTAGTGTGATGATGCAGTTGTGTATGAAGAAGGCCAGAGTGAGAATACCAGTCAACTGAGGAAAAAACTGTCTGAACTCTGAAATAAGGAAAAAAATCTTTTCACCGTTTCATCAAAAAACAGATGGTGCTCAAAGAGGATGTAACATTCTTCTCCTGACTCAGGATTTTAAGCATTCTTACAGCATATCTTTAAAAAAATACCAAGAACATACACACAGTTGTAGAGCAAACTTCAAGCAAATAACTTCATGTCACGCAACGTGAAATTACCTGGAACGTAGAACTGGGAAGTATCAAGCCAGTGGAACTCAAGATGGAAGCCAAGATGGGCAGCTTTAATTGTGACCAGTACAATCAGGTAGATGACAGATATGGTGCCTGGACACAACAAACATAGTTGGGTGATGCAAAACCAGAGTGAACGCCAAAGAAATCAGACTTGACAAATTTTAAAGAAAACCTGAGATTGTGGTGCTCACCACGTGACAAGAACCTTACCAAAGAACGTGAACCTTGCAAAGAAGGATGCTGAGCGGAAGCAGAGCAGTGGCAGCAGCAGAACAATGAGGTAGAGAGGGACCGTATTGGTTTTACTCCAGTAGAGGTCAAAAGAGTCCGCATCTGAAAAGTTTCCCATTTTGTCCAAAAAAAGCAGGCTGCTGGTGTCATTACTTTCAGGGTTGGTTTTGGGATATGGACAAATGACTGGTAATAAAAATAAATATAAACAAAACTTTATTATACACGTCCATTTTGTATTTAATAAATAGACAAAATGTACAGATATAAGAGTTGCAAGTATCTTGGTACAGAAAACTTACCTTTTTCTGTACCATTAGTTCCATACACTGAGTCTGATGTGTTGATATTGTGAGCAAAATCTAAAATGAAACAAAATAGAAAGAAAATTAACTAAAAAAAAAAAAAAAAAAAAGGTATTTCAGTGCTTGATAACTTTCTGCTTCGATGCACAAAAATAACTAGTTTATAAACCAATGCAACATCAGTGGTGCCATAAACTCACTTAACTGGACTGAAGTCAATCTGATCTCAAGTTCTTTAACCACTTTTTTATTTATTTAAAAGAATCAGAAAGTGCAGCTAGCTCTAACATTTCAAAATATATTTTCAATTTTACCTGAACAGATTTTTAATAATAAAAAAAAAAAAAGTGTTTGCATAGATGGCAAGGATTATTTTAGCTAGAAAACACGATCAGACATGAATCTAACATCTTTCTGAATCCTGTTCCAATTCACAATAGCACAGATAATGAATCGTTTTGATGAGGGTTTCCATCATTTTCATAACTTTTAAGAGATTATTAGTGATCAAGGTATGAGTGCACATTTTTTGTAAACAGTTCAAATTTACTTCACAGTTAGAGAAACAAAAGGCCATGATGACTTGGCTTCACTGTGTTTCCCTGCAGGGATTATACAGCCTATTGATATTTTGAGAATCTCTGCACGTCAGCAGATTTGATGCGTTGCTCTCAGAGGGAACGATGGATTTATCCATAGTCCAGGGAACCAAGTGGACATGGAACAAGAGAGCCATGTGTTTATCTCGTGTACAGCCTGTGCTGGGAGGCTGACGTGACACTGTGCTTCAGCTGAGTGAATCAGAGAACTGCTGACTTCAACACAAAGAAACAGGAAAAGCTGTGAGGGGAGAAGGTGGAGGGTGAACGAGTAAGAATTAAATTTTGGAAAGTAGTTGCTGAGGTTTGTGAAGAAAACGGGAGAAGCACAATAATCAAGCTGCTGGATCAATAAGGTAGATTCAAAGAATGGTGATAAATGATCAACCAATAACAGCTGATTCCCAACCACATGATGTTTACTTTATATTTATTTTACCAGACATAAATTCAAGTCAACAATGCTCATTTATACAAATCCTTAGAGCCTGCCATGATCTATTATCATTTCTAGATGCGTGTAAGATTAAATTATGTAATTTGAACTTGGAAAGTGATTTATAGTTAAAACGAGTTAATGACCCTAGTTTATGTTTGAGCCTCTAACAACACATCCTTGCTAAAAACATGAACAAAGCTTACTCAGCACTTGACATTTGTCTAGAAGGAGAATGTTTTAGAGAAAAGGTAAACTACCAGTAATCATTTAAAGTCATATTACACTGCATTAAATTACAAATGAGACAGAAGTGAAGAAACTGTCGTAGATTTCAGAGCTCATTAGTTATAATACAGCAAGTCCAGACGTGAACTACACTGCAGCTCTGGTGAACTTTGGTCATTTAGCAACTGGAAACACATCCAGATATGTTGCATAAACCAGATTAGCCAAGTACCGGTGCACAACTAAATACTCATTTTCTGCTTTGTGACTTACTGTAGATACCCTGCCCAGTGTTATAGAGGAAGTTAGACATGAGGACCCAGTAGACCACCATGGCTCCAACAAGTGACACCATGGAGAAGATCAAGCTGGACCACTGACCACTCTTTCCAAAGTAGAACCTACAAACATCTGGGAATTCCCAGTTGGACGTGTCCTCTGTAGCTGAACAAAACAGAAAACATCACAGCAGTGAACATTTGCTTCTTTGATCAAATAAAAAAATAAATGCATACACGGAAACCCCTAAAACATCGAGTTCTAATGAAAATTTGACTTTAAAAAAATTTTTTTTTTTACTATTTACGCTTCAAATGTGCTCATTTTAAAATTCAGAATAATTTCTGTATACATCACCAGATAAGATTCAGTGGTTTGAAGCAATGTGAGGCTTTTGATGTCTTTTAAACTTTTGTCTTAAAAGTGGCTTCTTTTCTATGAAAGGATTGATGTTTTAGCTGAATTATGTTTACAATAAAGAAATCTAAAAACAAAACCCTGCCAGTGATGACATTCGGTTCTCTAAACCAGGAAGGAAATGATATTTACAACTTCAAGGAGAAGTGAGTACGACTTGATTACTCAATCATGTGTGTGTGTCAATAACAGCATCTGCAGGACTTTTAATAAGTGGGATGTTGTGCAACTGCTGCAACTCGTCACAGAGAACAAACGATATATCTTGGGGATCAGAACAAGATGCCAGATGTCTTCCACAGCATTTCAATTCAGTTTATTTATAGAGCGTCAAATCACAACAAGTTGTCTCAGGGCACTTTACAGGAACATTCACACACATAAAAGCCAATTAGTAAAGTTCTCCATCTAAGGAATCAGCAGACAAGTTGAATCTTGGCTTCGTGGAGTTCAACTGAGACGCACCTTTACTATAAAGTCGAGCAAACAAATAATTGTTTATAGGTGGTGATCTTGTTAAATTTTGAAGAAATGGACAGCGAGTCCTCCCTCTGCGCATTCATGTTTCCACGTATCGGCTTTTGAAAATGCAGCCGATTTGACCGTCAAAGTGCATTTATAAAGCAAATGTTATACCGAGACACACCTTTACTATAATTTCAAGAAAACAAATAATTGTTTTTAGGTGGTTATCTTGTTAAATTTCAAAGAAACGTGCAGAGGCTCGTCCCTGCGCGTGCCCGCTTCTGCAAATCGGGTTTTGAAATGCAGCCGATTTGACCGTCAAAGTGCATTTATTAAGTAAAAGTTGAACTGAGACACACCTTTACTATAAATTAAAGCAAATAAATAATTGTTTTGAAGTGTTAATCTTGTTAAATTCTTGTTAAAGTCCTCTCGTGCACGCTCCCGCCATTTGGCAGCACATTGATTTTTGGCACAACACCGGCCCACATTTCCAGGTTGTCAGCTGTGACGCATACGACAAAACAACGTATTTATGGATTTTATACTTTATTAGACATATTTGAACTAATGCAACTTATAAGGCGGTGCGACATGTACGGCAGAAAAATAAGTCGGTGAGATGTAAGTAATAAATTATGATCTGGTTTTGCTAATGTAGAATAATCAGAGGAACCATATGCATCTCTAAATACAGCAAAAAAGAAAAATAAACCTTCAGATTTAGAAAACTGTCAGTGCTGTGCTCCTATTGTGTACAAAATGCCACCTAACTCTGTAAACCAGTAGAAAAGGTAGGTTTAAATTTAGATGAAGGGTGGGAGACATGTTGCTTAACTTACTGATGGTCTTTGGTGATTTGATGACGATGTAACAAGAGTACAGCATGAGAAGACCTATGATGATGAGGATGAGAATACCCAGAGTGAAACCAGCCTGAGGGAATGAAGTAATAAACAATATTTCAATTATACTTCTGCATTTAAGATAAACTGAAAGTCTTTAAACAAAGCAGGGAGCTCAAGTGTGAGAAATAAAACCTCTCACCTGCTTAATACCCCATGGTATACTGAGTATGGATGTACCCATCATCGTGTTCCATATTGCAAAGCTGCAAAGAGAGGAAAAATGATGGGATTCATGTGAACATTCAGCTCAGGCTAGCTGGTGCTAGTAGGGCTTACATTGTAATAATACTGGGGTTTTTAGAGCCTTGGCTGCTATCTGACACTTTAAAAGCTGTCCCAAGAGGGCTGTAGATGTAGAGCTCTTCTGGTGAAGGGATCACATGATTTGGAGGACTCTGCAGAAAAAAAAAAAAAAGCAAATACTCCAGTAAAAGCTTTAAAAGTTCAGAAACAAGTGTTTTATTTTTTACAGGATTCCAATCAGGATATTTTATATTTCTCTGTGTTTAGCAGCTAAAGTAAGTTTTTATGAAACAGGTCAACATAATTAAATTGTATTAATTATGCTGCCAACTATCTGCATGTCATTCTTTGACATATAAAAAAGCACTTCTAAAGCAAAAATGTTGTCTTTAAGACAAAAATGTCAAATCAACTGTTATAAAAAGCATCACTGAGGTCCAACAATGTTTTCCCCATTTCTCCTGCAATGTTATGAGCACCTGTCCTGGAAAAATGATTACAGTAAGATGCCCGTTGCTGCAACTAAATGTCTGGACACACCAACAGTCTGTCAGAGGAGCCGGTCAGTCTGCTGTAGTAATGGAGCCTGCTGTTAAGGATGGCAGCTCTGGCAGAGATCCTCTCCTGTGGATCATCTTCTACTATGTTCCGTGGCTCCACATGGAAAGGCCTACAAGGACAGAAAAAGGGGGAAATTGAAAGAAAAAAAACAATAAATCAGATTATTTCAAGCATTTTCCAGGAATCAATTTAACATCACAATTACACTTTTTGACTTGACACAATGCACACACATGTTGTGATTCAACCTAATTTTTATCTTTGAACCTTATGTGCATCTTTAGGTTAGATCTTAGGTTGGATCAGCTCCCCACCTCTACTTTATACTGTGTTGGTAAAGTGCTGCTGTCCCTGCCTCAGCCACTTGATGGTTTGCTAGGATCTCCTTGGAGCCAATGGAGAGTCTCTATCCAAGGCCTCACTGAATTTATTCCACATCCAAACATTTACTGTACCTAATTCATTCATTCATTCATTCATTCAACCTTTATTTAAACAGATAAGTCACATTGAGCCTCGAAGACTCATTTACAAGTGAGACCTGTTTGGACAGACAATAAAAAGTGGTGAAAATGACACATAGGTTTTGGAGACAAAAAAAATCCCAATAAGCTCTTAATCTTTGGCTGAAGGTTAACAGCATGATAATGAAAAAAACCTCGCATGACTAGCACATAATGACACTGACATTCCACGTGGGGGTCGCAATACAGTCAGGGCTGCAAACTGCTTGGCCTGCCATTGCCCCTCAGCTGCCTCTAGAGTCCTACCACCTAATAGGACTATTTGATGGTCTTCCTCACCTGGGGTATTCACCACTGGGTTTTAGGATGGCCACAGCGAGAGGCATCCATCTTGACAACGGAGGCACAGGACATGGCCCAATAAGACTCAACGTTCTCCCTCCTTCACTGGAATGTGGTTGAAATTCTGTCCGAGGTGGGAGTTGAAGATTTTTTTATTGAAAAGTTCTTTCTCCAGGCATTCCCCTCTCGACACCTTTGGCTTTGCCAAGTCTGTCTGGCTTCTCTCACCATCTGATCCAACTCACCACCAGGTGGTGATCAGTTGACAACTCAGCTCTTTTCTTCATGTGAGTGTCCAAAACATACAGCTGCAAATCAGATGACAAGACTAGAAAAATCAGTAATAGATCTGCAACCCAAGGTGTCCTGGTGTCATGTGCACTTATAGACACCTTTATGCTCGGTCATGGTGTTTTTTATAGACAAGTACCGACGAACAAACACTGATGACTCAGAAGTCCAACAAAACAACGTTCAGTTTCAGATCAGAGAGACCGTTCCTCTCAGTCACACCCCTCCAAGCCACACTCTCACTACCAACGTGGGCACTGAAGTCCCCCAGCAGAATAATGGAGTCTCTAGTTGAAGCACCTTCCAACACCACAGCTAAGGAGTCTTATGTAAGGCTGGACTGGCCTGACCCGAGTTCTGCCCCGAGTTTTGAGTGTCGTTGGTGTGTTGGTAATGGGCAGTGTGGCCCAGTTCCAGGTCAATTTTTGGAACCCAGAGACCTGGGTCTCCATTCAGGCCAGTCTAGTGCTGCAGATTTGACATCAGGAGACTTATAGCCATTGATTAGTTCGCTGGCCCTGGGGCTCACCTCACAGAGGATTCATACTTCCAGCAACTGCTTCTTACTGTCATTTCCTACAGATACTTGCTTCTGGCCAGGTGTGTGCTAGAGAGAGCTCCTGATTTTCTTTAGAAAAAAAAAATGGCAATGCAAAATATATGACTGGTGCCCTGAACAAATGACCCCCCCCCTTTCTTTCAGCTTTTCCCTTCTTCAGGGACAGTGAACTAATTCTCACAAAAGCTTAGCAATTGTTTTTACACCGGATGCTCTTCTTGACACAATCACAGACCACCGAGCTACCACAGCCCTCTGTGTAGAGCAGAGCGCTGCACTCCAGGACACCTGGGGGAGCAGATGGTCGTGGTTAAGGGCCTTGCTGCCAAAGTTGCAAGGGCCCAGAGTGGGTCAAATGAGGATGGAGGCAGGTGTGGGTGTTTCATCTCACCCACTCACATTTTGATATTGTTGGTCTGGGGAGTTGAACCAGCGACCTTCCGATCACTGGTCCAACTTCTCTAACCTCTACGCCACCATTCCCCTCACCCTGGACATACAATGAGGTGCAGTAATTGTTGAGCTGAAATTCATGCACTCTTGCAATGATAGTCCCACCTATATCAAGGCAGCACTCTGCTGAAAGCAAATAAAACCAGAGTTAGGGAAGACAGGGGTTGAACCAACTGTGGCCGGTCCAGGCTGGACCGGGCTTTACAAATCTTAAGAGGCATTAGAAGGTTGGGTACATGGAACGGCTTTTCGGCATATACAGTAGTCACAAGCAACAGTCAGAAACCATTCCCCTAGCCAAAGGATTGGAGGAGAGGCTCATCAGCAAGCGCCTGGTGACCACGCCTCCTCAGCCTGAATGAGTTACATGGGTTTGCCTTCTTGCATCCCCACTGGTCTGCAGGAGTATGGGTCGGGTTCAAAGTGCGACATCCGACATTACGGCCCTTGGTGCTCTTATCCTGGCTTACCGAAGCTGTTTCTTTGGACATGGAATGTCACTTCTTAGGTGGGAAGGAGTCTGAGCTTGTGCTTGAGGTTGAGTGGTACTGACTAGATATACTGGTAGTTGGGTCTTGTGGAACCAATCTCCTTGGGAAGGGGCTGGGCTTATAGACCTCCCTGGAATGCCACATTTGTGTGACTCACTGCAGCTCTGGCTGTATTTCCCCAGTAGATCAGAGGGTAGATTCCCTACTCCTTTGGCTAGAGTGGGGCCACAGTAACCCAAGGGACATTGAACTCACTGCCATCTATCTACCTTTTATGCATTTAATAGTATAAATAAACTTTAAACTACTTTTAGCCTTCATATATTCCTTATTAACATAATTATCATTTTGTCACTGCCGAGAGAAATGCCTCTTTTGTCATCTCACATAATTTTTATTTCTAAATAATTTCAGAAATGTGTTTTTAAAAGAAAAAAAGCCTTCTACTTTTTTATAACCTACAAAGAAAAGTATGCATTTATCGTTAACTAATTTTTATATTCACATATTTTAAGGTTAAGCTTCAACTTCTCAAGTAACTAACAACTGTCTGACATATTTAGTATAATATTGTAATATACAGTAGTATGAACCAAGTATAATAAAGCCCAATGAAGTACAATGAAAATACTTAAAGAATTATATTCCACCACTGCAAATTTAAAACCCACTATATTTTACTGTACTGAGAGTTTACCCATAATACAAGCGTGTGGATTTTACTTGCAAAAGTGAGTGCTTGTATTGTTTAATGTGCTAGAAACTTGTTGGTCACTGTGAAATACCTAACTGGATTAAAATTCACATTAACTACTAATACGGTGGGGAAACATGCCAGGGTGGTGACAAACTCACACAACACACTCAAACATCTTAGCATTTGAATACTAAGTGAATTCCAGGAAGCAAGGCCCCTAGAAGGTACAGTATTATATTGAGAAGTACATTGTCAGCAAACACAAACAAGCTGAATACAGAGAAGTCTCTGGAGAAGCCAGAGAGTGGAGAAGTGTTGGGGGAAGCATGTCGGAAAATAAGCTTTGGATGTACAAGAACAAACTGGTGGCTCTTTGCCTCATTATATTTACTCTTCTTTCACACAAATTTAAACGATTGTGTTTTGATGTTTTTATGACTAGTCTGAAGCTCTGAACACACCAGAGAAGACTAACTATCTTGATAGTGAGCAGGAGCTGAGATTGTGTCTACTGGATGTCAGTTTGTCAGGATCTGCCATGAAAGGAATCCTCTGAACATAATACCGCCACCACCATGCTTCACTATGGGGATTAAGTCAAAGTCAATGAAATATGTTAGCGGTTTTCCTTTTTGTCTGATGTGTGCCATGTTCCATGTTCTTGTAGATCCACCTTGATATTTTATGTTCTGGCTACCTTACAGCTTATAGTGGCCCTCTGGACAGGCCCGTCTCTACTTGTGGACACTGCAGCTCTTCCAGGTTTACCTTCAGCCTTATTTTAATTGCGTCTTGTGGTGATGAGATCTTTCAGCTTTCTAATAATGAATTTGACGATGGCCTCTGTGATATTCAAAGGGAATAAAAACATGTTTACACTACTTTCAGTGTTAAAAAGACATTTCCAAGTCACCAGTGTCTACACGATTGAATGTAGACACCTTATATGACCAATGAAGCCAATAATTTTGCTTTTCTCATGCCTGAAAGCAAAACCATTGCCTTATTTTAATACCAATGACTGAACCAGTGACCCATAAGTTGCACTTTCACACCTACACTGACTGCATGTAGGATTTGCAGTGTTTCAGTTGTTTGTACCTTTTGACTTTAATGTCCAGAGAGTCTGTGGAGCCTCTGTGGGAGTAACTCTCTCCTGTGTACTCTGTGCTCAGCAGAGGCCTGCTGTCGTCCTCCATGATCTCCAAATATTTCAGCTAAAGCCTCACAACTCTCATCACCTGTCTGAAAAAAACAGATTTTAAGTTTCACTCGGGTACCAACAGAACAGCCAGATTATAGTTTCCTTTCTTTGCGATGCAGTTAATGTGCTGCATCTGGCACATGGTAACCATTGCCCAAGTTTTTCACTCAGCTTCAAGGGAGAGCTGAAAACAGAAGGACACCGTTTAAGAAAACTCATTAAATTTTAACTAGAGTTTGATAAATTGCACATGGAAGATTCCAAGGTCAAAAAATTAGAATGTTGTGGAAAAAGTTCAATATTTTTTGTTAATCATTTCAGAAAGTGAAACTCATATTGCATAGATACACAGACTGAAACATTTCAAGTTTGTATTTCGTATATTTTGATGATTATAGCTTACAGATGATTAAAAACCAAAACTGTGTCCAAGAAAACGAAAACATTGTGAAAAGGTTCAATATTGTAAATTCCTGGTGTCACACTCTGATCAGCTGATTAACTCCTGGACATGAGCTACAAATGTCTCATTCCTCAAGTCAAGCCACTCCAGAACCAGAGACATCAGAAGCGTCTTACCTGCTGTGGACAAAAAGAACTGGACTTGTTGCTCAGTGGTCCAATGTCCTCTTTTCAGATTAAAGTTAATTTTGTATCTCATTTGGAAATCAAGGTCCCAGAGTCTGGAGGACGAGTGGAGAGGTCCAGAATCCACGTTGTTTGAAGTCCAGAGTGAAGTTTTCACAGTCAGTGATGGATTGGGTCCATGTCCTCTACTGGTGTTGGTCCACTGGGTTTCCTGAAGTCCACAGTCCACACAGCATCTAGCAGGACACGTGAAGACTTCATGCTTCCTTCTGCTGACGAGCTTTATGGAGATGCTGGTTTCAGTTTCCAGCAGGACTTGTTGCCACTGGTCCACACTGACAAAAGTACCAAAAACTGGATGTGGAATATTCTAATTTTCTGAGACACTGATGTTAGTTTTTTTATTATTTGTAAATCATAATCATCAAAATGACACGAAATAAAGGCTTGAAATATTTCACTAATGAATCTATGAAATATATGAGTTTCACTTGCTGAAAGGACTGAAACAATACTGAACTTTTTTAACGATATTCAAATTTGTGTTTTCGATGTACCTGTAAGTGTTGCAGAAAGTAGGCTACACATTTGAACTTTGTTATAAACATGACATTACCTGCACAGAAGATCAGTCAGACAAAGAGATTAGGACTAATTTGTCTCATGTTAACAACATTCTTGGATCAAGTTGCAAGCGCTTCAGTTTAAAGACATTTTAGCTGACTGTTACAGAAAGCTGTAAGCTAATCTCTTGACCAAACTGAAACTCCATTACACAGCGTTTTTTTTAATGAGGAAGTTCAAAAATAAGGAACACAGTAAATACCTACTGCATCCTGCGAGTATAAAGAAGTACCTTTCAGAACTGTAGATATTTAGTTACCTTACGTGCTGTTAAATTAAGATTTACTACTAATCATAAACAATTGCACTTTTTATTAAACTAAACATGAGAACATGTAAAGAATCAACTGAATGAGTGATATTTTAGTAAGAATTGTGGGTTTGCTTGCACATTCTGCACAGATTATAGATATTGGCATCAGTTTGAAGGACAACGATTATTATACTGGCATTACACAACTTGAAGCTCCTTATTTATTTATACATGTAAATAAAAACAACTTTCCTGTATTTAAACTAGACATGGTCAATAAGAATGTGATTTTAAAATTGGCTGGATCTTTTCTACTGGCTTAAAATATTTAGAGCATGTTTGGCTTTATGATTTATTACATAGAAAGCTGGGAAAAGGCCCAAAGCAAACCGGCCATAAAATCTGATAGAAGAACTAGATTAACTAATCTACTTGCACTATTTTGTTTTAATGACCTGCAGGATTTCACAGGTGGAGGAAAGTCCGCCCAGAAACAGCATAACACACTTTCTGATTGGTTATTTTCCTCCCAAACACAAAACGTTTGAAATGTGCCCTCACTGATTATGATATTGTGAACACTATGAAAGTGCTATTGATGTTTTAGCATCATGTGCTAGTTACATTTTTCAATGTGTGTGTACAGTTTTTATACAACGTGGGTTACTCTGTTAAAGCTTTTTCTCCTGTCCCATCTTGAAAAGCTCTCATCCTGCAGGATATGCTGGAACAAAGCGTAGCATTTTTGACAAGACACTAAAACAACCAAAAATATAGAAAATAAAGGAATAAGTTTTACTTTTTGAGGCGATGACCAAGAACAGTTTAAAACTTGTCATTCTAGACCAGGGGTCTGCAACCTGCGGCTCTGGGGCCACATGAGGCTCTTTGGTCCCTCTGCAGCGGCTCTTCCAGGCTTCGACCAAAACTAAAATAAAACTGAATTTTATTTAAATTATTGCCAACTAAATTATTGGCTAGTTTTAGCAGATTTCCTGTCATATTCAAATATGTGAAGACGAGTACAAATACACGGTGTAAAACGTGGACTGCATCATGCTAGCAGTTTGTTAGCCACTTTAAGTCGACTTCCAGTCCAACAGCGTGATGTTTCTCTCAAAACCACCTGAATGTTTTGGAATATCTTTAAGACAAGCTGCTGCGAATGAACATGGTGAGTAACTCTGATAACACCAAGAATAAAACACAAAAAAAAACAGTCAAAGTAAATGAAAGTATTTATTTTTCTTTAAAAATGTAATTGGATATCCAACCAACTGGCTTAATTTTATACCGTCTTTAACTTCATGCTTTAAATACGACACTTAATTCTCCACCAATTAAGAGAACGCACATAAATCTGTAGAGTTCAGTGTTTTTATTTTTATAAAATTGTTAAAAACTATAGGTGCGTTTTTTGTTTTTTTCTTTACATGGATGTGGGCTTTTCTTTTGTATTAAAATGTAAAAAATAACAATAAATGTTAATAATAGTTAATGTTTTGTTTTATAATAATCACCCCCAGCAGCTGGAGAAACCATCTCCAACAAACTTGTAGTGGCCCATGAGCCACCAGTTGACAGCGCACACTTGCAGCAGCTTTTGCGCCTCTGGACATCGTAGTTAGTAAGAAAAGTGGCTCTTTTTATTGCAAAGCTTGCACACTCCTGTTCTAGACCATTAAAACGGCAGATCTGGTGTTCTGACCAGTAATTTAAAAGCAGTGGAAGTCTCTTATAACCTGTGCCCTGAGACGACTTCTGATGTGACTTGGTGCTACATAAATAAACTGAAATGAATTGTAATTTGTCTAATAAGCCCAACTCTGATAATAAGCCATAAATAATCACCTCTACCAACCACGCAGAAGAATTACAGCCATGAGCATTTATGTCCAGTCAGATGTTGTGAATAAACACTGGGCTTCTTATGAGGTGTACACGATTTATGAAACATGTGTACTTGTTGTTATAACGGAGTAGGGCCTGCTAATCCCAACATGAAGACATCATTTATATAATCTCCACTTATAAAGAAACCGTCCAGACTGAGCAGCTGTCGAGCCACTTTGAACAGCTGGATTTTTCTATAAATGGTGTCAGGTTCTACAACAGCTTTGACCCATTAAGATAACTTTACATTTTTAGGCAAAAGCTTCAGATTTTAAACAAGTTTACAACCATGGTCAAACGTATTACTAGGAAAAGTTTTTTGTTCATAAATGTAGATTTTTTTTTAATGTGACTCCGAATTTATGTCATTGGGAAAATTACCTGAAATCTTTCGGCGAGCCTTTTAAGTTGGTTAAAAGTAAATCTGCTCAACAGCTTTATACTTTGATTATTAACTTTAATTTGTTATAAACCTCTACATTTGTTCCTGGTTTATGTAATTATTATTGCTTTTTTGTTGTATATTTTTGAATGTATATAGCTCAACCTGGGTAAGTTAATTGACGCTTTGTATTACTTTTTTTTTTTTTTTTTGCCTTGGCTTGTTTGTAAATTGTTGTTAATAATAATAATAATAATAATAATAATAATAATAATAATAATAATAATAAAAACATGTTGAAACAGCACATCTCAGCTTTCATTGCACCTGAGCCTACTCAAGATTCTGACTTCATTTGATGGTTAAATTATTCTACTTGCATGAAAAGACTCATTCAGTCAAGCGTCCCTGCACACCTGGATGCGCGCGCATCCTCCACTGTTTACAGGCGACACTCACACACCTTGAATGATTTAATTACCTCAGCAGTCACGGGTCGATGCAGCTGAGACGCTCAAATATCGATAAAGTCTGAAGTCTAGCCTCAAACGTCGATGTAGTCTCTCTAAAAGCGTGTGATGTTTTCACGCTCATGGGAGCTGTGGCCCAGCTTTAAAGAAACATCAGGAAAACTGACGCCGAGAGTCTGAAACTACAAAACTACCGCCGCCTGAGGAGACGGAGCAGAGATGGAGGATGACACGAGTACAAAGTGTACTGACCTGTGGCCCACTGTGAACAACGTGGACTCAACGCTGCTTCTTGTAGGTGCTGATGGCCGAAGCCCATGAGTTCACCGAACAAACACTGCAAATTCAGGTCGTTTCCTACTGACGGAGCCACCGCAGCGTCTTCCGTTCTCTCGCCAATCAACTTGTTAGTCAGGCACGTGAAGTGACGTCATGCCGTTCAAGTTCGTGAGAACTGTATGGCAGGTTGATGTACCATATAACATAAAGGGCCTTCTCAGGCTGTCGCGATTTATCTTTTGTGATTTAGAGAAAACTCACTTAAGAGCCATTGTGCTTTCTGTGAAGTGAGAAGGCCTTAAAGTCTTAAACTGTTAAGATTGTGCAGATAATACAGGTGCTGGCCATAAAATTAGAATATCATGAAAAAGTTGATGTATTTCAGTAATCCCATTCAAAAGGTGAAACTTGTATATTATATTCATTCATTTCACACAGACTGATACATTTCAAATGTTGAATATTTCTTTTAATGTTGATGATTGTCAATACTTAGTTGGGGCTCCATTTGCCTGGATTACTGCAGGATATATATATATATATATATATATATATATATATATTAGATATAAGTTTGTTGGTTCCTTTAAGAAGTGATAGACCTTTAATTTCTGATGAAGCGGTTTAAAACTAACATACATAAAATACACAAAACTGTGTCTGTGAAAACGCCCCCCCCACCACCACCACCACCCCCATTCAGAAATTTTAATATGTAACGCCTTCTAGAACAAGAATAGAAGATAAACCTTTGCATTTGACAATAATTGTTAAATCTCAAGGAAAATAAATACACTGGACAGTTAGTGTAGCACTGGTCATACCATTAAAATTGAAGACAAAAACATCCACAATCCTTCATTAAAAACATTTAATGAAGTAAAATAAAAATAAAAACACTGTTTAATACAACTAACAAAGACACAAGTTTATGTTTTTTAACTTCAGTCCAGAGACAATGAGCACAAAGGTTTTAAACGCTCTAATGTCTACAAGTTTTTAAAGACTGCCAATTCCTGTAGTCCAGTACTTGTGCTACATGAAAAATTATTGTAATACATGAATGTTGGAAGAATGAAGAGTAAAAAAATATGTCAACAGATTGTCTGTGGATCTTTTAGACTTCGTGCCACAAAAGGCAGCGTACCCATAAACAGACCTGCCTGATGTTGGACCCTTGAAAAACTGGCTGTCTCTAAAGTTTATGATGCTCCTGGTTCACAAGAATCACTGCAGGGTTACAGATCCAGGTTCTGACTTTTTAAAGAGTTGGGGAAGTTTGTTAATGATAATTACCGGTACATTCAGACTTCATTGTTTGCAATCACACAGAATATTTGCCTGTTAAGACTCCATCACACTGCATCACTTCTAACTCTTCATGACGTCCATGCTCCATTAAAACGTGGCCAGATTCAACAAATTTAAGAAACTTTCAAAGTGAAAACCATCATGATGCTTCGATGACATTAGTCCTCATCAGATGGGTTTTCCCCTGACACTCTCAGGTGTTCGTAACACTAAACACTGACGCAGCTCTCTCAGATTGGGGCAGGATGCAGCTACAGGCATCACTTTTGCACTAGACCCTTTCATTAACCTTGTCTTGATCACAGTTGTAGTCTCGGCATGAGGCCATCGTAACTAGTCTGGCTTAAAACCCTTCATGACTATGTCATGCCGGGGCAAGCGGGCCCTACATTATTGACATGCTGCCATCACGCTCTATCCAGAACCTCGGTACAGACACCAGAATGGTAAAACACCACATCCCTGCTATGGAAGTCTTTGTGCAAGGTCAAAGCCCTCCATCCTACGGCCCTTCCCATTTCTTATACATAGCCATTGACGTTCTGATGCATTTTTGTCATAACAGAGTTGACTTCAAGGACTACACAGTAGGTTTTTTTTAATTTTCCAATGGACACGTTGACAGACCACCATTTATAGATTCCAGTGATGTGGTTTCGACAGAACCTGGATAACAAACCGCCTCAAACCAAGTTAAAATACTTTCTCCCAACAAACTTGCCTAACCCTGAATGTGCGTTTGGAGGCCAACGCTGGAAACACCATGTGCTCATATTTGCAGAGACGGGTGCACCGATCGTAAACCAGCGTTGGAATATTAATTTGAAGGGTTGTTGCATTTTAACAAAGACAACGTTGGATTTGTCAAAGTTTGGACGTCTTTAGGAAGCAACACCACTCGAGAACAGCAGCAGAGTCTACATTTTCTTTTCTCTTTTTCTCTTCTTTGTTTATAGATCCTCTTTGCATGCACTTGGCTGGGGTCCGTAGGAGCACCTTTATTATGACATAGCACCATTTATCATAGTTATCCTGTTATACTGGCACCCAACCATTAGCATGCACAGTCTAAAATCTTTGTGTTCTTGGTTATCATTTCTAAATGAAGCATTGTTTAAAATGTCACAAGGCAAGTAATGAATATTCATACAGTACTTTACATATAGGTGGACAGAATAGAGTACACATTAAAGAAAGTGCTAAAGTACAACATTTCCTTGTTTCAGAAGTCTTAGTTTACAGGACTATCAAACACACCAGTGTATTACATCTATGTAAATTTATACCTTTTCACATTTTCATTTTTCACTTTGATTGTTTTAATAAAACCAAACATCTACAGTTCCACATTTTCCAGTTCACAACAGAAGGAAAACACAACAGAACAAGCAGAATGTCTTCTTCAGTACGCCTACATTCACATCACTCTACCTGCACAACCACACAGGAACAAACACGTCGTCAGGCTGAGGTCCACATCTAACCCGTGGATAATTACTTCTGTGAAATGTTCAGTTTCATTCTGGATGTGACAACGCCATACATATTTATAACAACGATCCTTTTACATCTGTAGTTTTCTGTTGCCTTTGGCTGTTTTTCTTATTTTAACCTTCAAAAACAAAGTACAAGAGTTAAAACCAAAAGCAGAAACAAACTTATAAAGGAGCTGGAAGGCGTCAGGACTGAAAACAGTACATATCTGTATCGAGCTGTATGTTGAAGTCCAGACTCCTCTAGCCCTCGGATTACTGTCCACTGAAAACAAAGATCACCAGAAGTTGACTTTTTTAACCATTTGATGCAACCCAAAACTTCTGATGCCATTTTTTATGACAGGTGTAAGATCTTGTGATCAAAATATGGCTAAAATTCAACTTTTACATCTTTTTCTTAACTTCTCTGATGATTTCTCTGGTTGAGTTTCTAGTGTATGGGTTTAGTTGAAGAGGAAAATAAACTAATTCAGAAAGAGCAGAGATTATCATACTTTAATATCTATAACTTGGACACCAGCCTTGTGTTCATGTTTAATAATAATTTTTTTAAATCATTTACGGGTTATTTTTGTCACGTTGAGGGTTATTGTTTCTAAAGTTAAGACACACACATGCTGTTTCTGTCAGCAAGGTGTCTACTTCTAGCTAAAGCTTCTTACAGCCACTGTTTAAAGTCTTGTCAGAGTACATGCTCATCATATAACCCCATATATAATCACACAAAATACATACTGTTGAATAATCAAAAACTTAAAGTTGATCTAATCATATTCTCTGAAATCATATTATTATTATTTTAGTAGAACACCAGAAAAAAAAATCTTGAATGCCAGGCTTTATGCTCTATAAACCCAGAGAAATAGGAAAAATGTTATTCAAGTTAATCTAAATTTAACTCTTCTAATCTACTTCAAATCGATGCTGGCAGATTTAATTGCAAAGTCATCTATACAAAAAACAAATTCCACAAATGTCCCTCAGGGCAGATCCCTGGGGCTTCTTATATTCTGAATCCTCTTTCATGAGATACCTTTAATATTTACCTTTTTAAACAAAATTATACATACTTCACATAAAGCAGGAGCCTTTTCTGTTCATCATCACGCAAATTTAGCCAGTGTTCAAGTTTGCAGTCCTTTACACCAATCAACCATAACATTATGACCACTACCCCACTGTAGGTCTCAACGTTGGCACCAAAACATTCTGAATGTCTCAAAGTATAGTGAACTCCAGTAGACCACCAAAGATCTGCTTAACACCAAGCCATCAACAAGTCCTAAAATTTGTGACAGTTTCTACACACCGTTGTTGAGGTAGATGATAAATGTCAAAGTAGCAGCCACGTGAATGACAAGACCAAGGGGTTCCAAGCAGAGCATTGTCATGCTACCACTGCAGGCTGGTTCTCCTCCCAAAGTTCATCCTTGTGCCTTCGTGTGCTCCTACAGGAAAAGATTTATACAACCCAGCCATGATGCCTGAGACCCTGTCACTTGTTTACTAGTTTCTTTGTCTAGAGAACATTAAGTCCTGAAGACTGGGAAGATCTAGAGAGAGCTACAGTTCTGGAGATGCTATGACCAGACATCTATTCTTTATCAAAGTGCCTCAAGTCCTTATAATACTTGTCTGTTCTGTTTAACTCCAGGACAAAACCTTCACTTGGTGACTTGTAGCGAGGGGCTACACAACTAAATAATCAGTTTGCTATTTCCCAAGTGGTCATAATGTTATGGCTAAAGAATGTACATGCTGGGCTCATTTTCATTTTCATTCTGCCGTCTGTCCGACAACTCTCTTTATTATGAAGCATGCATGAACATTTGTTGAACTCCAGAATGACGAAAGAATGGAAAAAATAGATAAAATAATTAAAGCGCTGACCGCGGGGAGGTTATTTAAGTGCAACTCATCGTTTTTAGAAGCTGTGGTTCATGATTGTCACTTTACACAGAAAGCATGGACGTAAATGATCGGTCCCTCTACATCACATCATTTCAACAAAAGTGCAACTTTTCTTTAAAGTGCGTTTTGTACACGTGTAATTTAGCCTTCACTACTGTCTCACTATATTATAAATACTTGGTCTATAATAAATTTTAGCTTCAAGATTTTATTTTAAAGAGAATTAGCTTCGCAAGCCCATGTCGCTGGCAATAAACGTTAAACTAGTTTCACGTAGAGAATAAAATTTTATATTTTTTTAATAAAATGTGCTATTTGTTATACGCATTATGATATATATATATATATATATATATATATATCTCTTTTAGAAATTATATGAAAATAAAACAAGCCGCTATCTCAAAGTCAGCAATCTTCACTGGACTTTATAATAAGGAAAGGAAACTTTATTAATCTCATAGTGTTTGATTTTTACTATTAGTTAATAACGGGTTAATAAGAATGTCAAAGAACAAGTTCAACACCAAGACGTTTAAGACAAGAAGCCCCGTTCAGACCTGGCATTAACATCCGTCTTGGCTGATCAGACAGACAACTTTATTCACCACCCGAAATATTTTTATCTGCATTAGTCAGACAGTGATGATGCAAACCATTCTGGGCAGAAACGAAGGACCAGCTGACTTTAAAAAATGATAAACACAGTTAAAACCAGGCCAGTGAAGATTTTGTCCTTGAGTTAAATGCGAAGTCAACAAATTTAAGCCAATTAAACATCAGCCTGGGAGCTTTCTGGAGACAAGAATTCTGTTGTGCATCCACTCACACAGTGTCCACAGTGGAGGAGTGTGGAAAACAGCTGACAGCAGGTTGTTGGCTGTTTTACTACAGAGGAAATTGAATGGGTGCAAAACATCTGTGCCTTTGCTCTGACACTAAGCTCTGTAAAACCTCTAATTACTTTATGGTCCTTTACGTAACTCATGTTGCATCTGTTACATATTTAAGTTTCTCAAAAGCGATGTTACATTTCCAGGTCTGAACACGGCTTTATGGACACCAGAGTAACTTCAGACATATTTACTGGTCACAATTAGCAACTCTGGTGATTCTATCCCACATCCACAGGACACCAAGCATTTGTCTTGGCCATATAATACTTGGCAAGTGGTACGTAAAACTAGAAAAAATCATCAGATTGAATTTTAGTCACCCCAAATAAACAATTTGCCTTAAAAATGTGTTTTAGTAATGTCCCGATGCATGCTCAGTAATCCAGGTAGATAAATCTAACAAGGTTGAGTCAGGTCCTTTGGACAGGTTCTTGTTTGTTGAAATGTTTTGTTTTTTAATCCTAAATACTTCTTCAGTCTGAGGAGCTGCAACAAACTCAGTCTTATAAGCAGCAGCTTCTTATAGTGGATCAAGCAGTTTGCTGGTGACAGCACACCCAGACCCAGACCCAGTGGTCATTCCATACGTTGGGAATTAGGGATGCACGATATTATCGGCATGGTATTAGCGTTAAAGTTCAATATCGGACATCGGCCACACCATAAAAATGACTCACCGATAGAAAAGGCGCTGTTTTTGTATGACAACCCAGTGACAAGGATGCCTGCAGCGCCGGCGCAACGTGATGACGTCACGTGCGCTACCTGATCTGATCACGACGGAGAGGAAGAAGTCAAAATGTTGGTGGTGGGAAAGTTGTTTTTTTTCATTGAGGATGTCAGATTCCAAAGATTGTTGGACTACGTTGAGCCTCGCTACGTTATCTCCATTCGGGGATATTTTTCTGATGTAGCCTTACTCGAGTTCCAAGCCGTCATTTCCGATGTCATTGAGAAGCTAATAGCCGACAGCACTTGGGTGAGTTTTACCACAGACATTTGGACGTCGTGTTAGCCCCGTTAGCATGATTAGTCTTACGGCACAATGGATAGACAAAAACTTTGAATTTAAAAAGTCTGTCCTTCATGCACAAGAGTGCAGATGATCCCACACTGCAGCTATAGGAACCTGGAACAAGCCTCCACAAGTGAGACAGCATTGCAGGTGACCAATGCTAATAAATAACATTTAACACTTTTCATTTAATATAAGTTAAAGTGCATATCATATCATATGGCTGTTACTGAATATATGTCACCAGCTCTTACAGCTGTTACACAATTTTTGCAGCCAATTAGTCTAAATAAGAGGAATATGTTCTGACAAAGGAAAGTATATAAAATATCGGTACTGGTTATCGGCCAAATAAGTTTTAACAAATCGGCATATCGGCCAAAAATCCAACATCGTGCATCCCTATTGGGAGTATCAGAGAAACTGAGATGTTTATTTTCTAAACATAACGTCCCAGTGGCTTTCAAACCCCAAAATACATTAAAGACTGGTTCATCCCAAAGATCCAGTCCCCCGGCACAAACAGCAATATTGTGTATGCTGTTCAGTGTCAGGAGGGTGATCAGTCTTACATCGGGGAAACTAAACAGCCACTGGCCAAAAGGATGGCCCAGCACAGAAGATCAACATCATCAGGCCAGGACTCTGCGGTCTACATCCTTGATGGAGAGGAATGCTGGTTTGAGAGAGTGAAGGAAGCCATCTTTGTGAAGAGAACTTGTCCATCATTAAACGGGGCGGAGGTCTCCGTGCACAACTGTCCCCCTCTTACAATGCTGTTATTGCTAGTATCACTCACCCTCCTGTGAATAGCAAACAGCCATCAGGGCACTCACGATCGGTCATTAGGCTGATGGTCCTCCTTTATCATGTGAACAACTATAGTTTTGGCTGTCACCAGCAAGATCCACCATGAGACGGTGCTATTTATAAGACTGAGTTTGTTGCAGCTCCTCAGACTGAAGAAGTTTTCTGGATAAAAGACGAAGCGTTTCAACAAAGAACCCCAGAGGACCTGACTCAACCGTGTTAGTGTAGTAATGCTTTCATTTGTAACTCAACAGAACACCTTCTTGCCCCCCCCCCCCCAAAAAAAGTAAGCGAAGGAGACTTCCATCTTGTGTCATTGTAGTTCTAATCTTGTCTGATCACTTTGTTTCAAGTCCAGTGTTTGTTATTAACAGAGCTTCAACACGTCATAAATGGTCGCAGATCCATCTAAAGTCTTATTTGTTGAAACTTGTATAATGTGAAGGCTTTTTGTCGGACTGATTACAGTCAGGAAAACAAGAATATTCCAAATACTTCTTCTCTAATCCAAATGTGGACACCCTAAAAAAACATGCACAGTGACTTAAGCAACTGTGTTGCATCATAATCGCAGATAAAATCATCCGTGATCACGTGCCAGGAAGCACTTTACAAGACGATTAATAAATGTAATTTAAAAAAACAGATAAGATTGCACAGTTGTCACGTCCCAACAAAGCTCTATGATTAGTTTTACTCACTGTCAGAATTGTAAAATCTAATCTTATCTACGAGTCCGTAGATTACCAGGCTCCTCAGGCATAAATTTAAGTCAACTAAGACCATAAACACAAGCAAGTGTAACTTATTGTATTAATAGTTTCAGACAAGTTGGCCATTTCAGAGCACTAATGTGAACAAAGAAATAAAAAAGCAGATTTACTTTTTCTTCTCGCTGTTCTGATTCACACCTCGAGTGGTTTTACGCTGTAACCGTATCTGCTTCACACCGAGCCAGTCTGTACTATGTGTGGAGGTGTCGCTCAGTTTGTGGGTTTATTGTGTAAAAAAGGATCAAATGTTTAAATTCACACACAGATCCAGCCAAGTGTCAGCGTAAACCTCTCTTACACAAGTTTCCTGATCTGGCAGAGTTGTCCTTTTAAAAGGAAATGTTTTCAATGCATTTTGGTTCATGCAGTTGTCTCAACTTGGGCCCCAGAACACTACAAACAAACAAAAAGAGCCAGTAACCTATAAAACATTTCTTTCACATGCAGTACTGTGCTAACTCAAATTCATTTGGAGACTAAACTTCTAGCAGCTATGCAACACGGTGATCTTTTCCTAAGGGCTCCCTTTTTTGTGACTTTACGGCTGAAAACTGCTAAACGGTCGTATCGTGCATATTCAGCAGAACGTTAGGTGATTTTCCTGCAGAGGGTGCAGGAAACGTCTGGTTGTGACTAGTTGCTGGCTGACGTGTTCAGATTTTGCAGCATTCTTCTACTCATCTACTTCCTCCACTGGTGGTGTGTGTCACTTGAGGAGGCTCCTGAAGGACTGTGCCACCACTCCATGCACTCTTGTGACGGTGCAAAACTACAATTGCCTTTTTGTGGTCATCGTGGTGCTGAGAAGAAAATCTGGACAATGTGTCTTATTCTAACAATATCATTTTGCACTGGACTGAAATTACTTAGTTTATATATTGTTTTCAGTGTAATGTGGGAACCTAACATCCAGGTTGTCCACAGGAGGCAGGTGACACAACATACACACTTAATTCCTTGTTGGGATGGCAATTTTTGGAGTATTATTTTCATCAGTCGCACTTAAAAAAAATATTAAATTCTACTTTCCGAAAGCTGGATTTGTTACTTGGGAGTACTTCACTGCAAGTGAGGCGTGGTAAACACCTGGTCCAGGTCTTTAAGGATACAAGCGACCAGTGTTCCATCAAAATAACCTTTTGTGAAAATGATAGAAACCAGCGTGAAGGACTGTGTGTTCAACTGGCTAAACCAAAAGAAGATGCATGTCATAACACCAACATTTCATTTGTAGCATGCATGTCACACCAATATATCTCTTCCCACAGTCATTTTGTATTATTCTTTATATTCAGTTCACTAAGTACTACCCCCCACCTCACACACACACACACACACATCTTTCTGTTGCCTGCATGGTGTGTATTGCACTTATTCTCCTCTTTAACCCTAACGCCCAGCAGGACCAAATTCAAGTTCAAGGGCATGATTTTGGATTCAAAACTAAATAAGAGATCAAATATTATGTTTCCCATGTATCTCTCCAGTGACTCGCTGCAGCTGCAGGTTTGCACATCACCAAGCAGGTCACCTCTTTGTTAGGAGCTTTTTGAAACAGCGCACTCTTTAATTTTCATAAGGCCAGGGTTTGGTTTAAAAAAAAAGAAGCCCCACTAGGACCGGGTCCTGGCTAAAGTGCATGAAGCAGCACTGGAGATGAACAGATGTTGGTTTGATAAGGCTATGGATGAATCACTTCTTGGCAGGGTACGAGTGGAAGTTTACCAGCCCTTGGCAATTCAAGCCCACTAATCAATGCGGTTGTGGCACGTGCGTGTTGGAGCCTTGTCACGTGCGGACAGGTCAGTCCTCGTGCTCCAGGCTGTCCTGTCGAGCCTCTGTCCTCTTCTCCTTGTGGCACGAGAAGATGCGCCGCATCTCCTCCTCGTAGCGCATGAAGTTCTCCCCGAAGCGCGCCCACGCCTTCAGGGGCACGGTGATGGTGTTCCTGTAGGGCTGGCGCACCTCGCTGATCTTCAGGAACACGCCGTAGCGGTTGGAGCCCACGTCGAAGTAAAAGCGCTTGTTGTCCACGCGGAACGACGCCGCCTCCGGCAGCTCGGGGCTGTCCAGCCGGCTCCTGGAGCCCGCGCGCTCCTCGTCCAGCGCGTCCTCGTCTCCGTAGTCTTCGATGAGCTGCGACAGGGCGTCCCTGAACTCGATGAGCCCCTGCGCGGGCAGCACGATGGTCTGCTCGATGCCCTGGCCGTAGTAGCCCATGGTGCCGTGGCCCTTGCTCACAGTCTGCCGTATGCGCAGGAACCGGCCTCTCTGGTTCTCCTTCAGGTCCAGGAAGTACTTCCTGTTGTCCCGCTCGATGAACTCGCTCTTCAGGACGCGGTGGGCATGCTCGTCGGAGCCCACGGAGCCGGCGGGAGACTGCTGCTCCCGCGCTTTCCTGCGCGCGTCGTGCCCGCCGCGCACCTGCCCGTTGCTGCCGTGCTCCTCGGCCGGATGAGGCGCCGGGCCCGGGGCCCCCCGCAGCCCGATCCGGGCGTAGTAGTCGATGAAGTCCCCCAGGCAGTAGCGCAGAGCCGGGGCCGTGGACATGGACAGCGTCAGCTTGCTCTTCCGGATGTTGTCGTGGCGGCCTCTCCCGATCCACACCTCGGCGATCTTGAGGAAGCGGCCGCGCACGCTCTGCTTCACGTCCAGGTAGAAGCGCTTCTTCTGGATGTCGACGCGTTTGGAGGCCAGCTCCTGAATGTCATTCTGCTGCTGCTGCTGCTGCTGCTGCTGCATGTACTGCTGCTGAGGGTACCCGTGTCTCGGCTGGGACTCGGACACCATCTTTCCCCTGCCTCTGTCCACCCCCCTGCAGCATCCATCAGCCATCATCATTTATATTCCTCTGGTTTGCTGCACAGGACAAAGAGTTTCCTCCATTCCAGGGGTGGGGGGGCAATAATAATAATCACCAGGCTCACACATTCACTCCTCCAGCTGGGCCGGAGCAGGTTTACCTGAAAATGGCTGCAGGAGTCATCCTTCCTTGAGGATGCGGGACCGGTCAGCTGCGGGCTCCTTCCATGTTCCTCAGCTGATTGTGCCGCAGCCCTGGTGTACAGCTGGGAAGCAGGAGACCCGAGCTGTGAGGATGAACTCGATGAACTCGTTCACCCCCCCTCCCCGTCCTGAGAAGCCCTCTGCTGGAGAGACGCGACGTCAGCAGCGGCTGCGCTCACTGCGGCTCCTCCCGAACACCGCCGCGCACTCACGGTGGAGGACTGCGGGAACTGCGCGCTCCAGACCCGCAGTCACTCCGTCAGCAGGTTCAGCACAGAGTCTGGACCTGAACAATGACTGGAACATTTCAGGACATGTGTTAAAATCAAATGGTGCGTCTGTTTCCGACAGCAAGACATCACCGAGTTGACAAAACAGCATCATCCAGGTCTTTTTGGAACATGAGACTTGCAACCCCCAAATCCTTGGCTGAACTGCACAGACGGTGCTTAAAAAGAAGTGACAGCTCAAATACAACTAGATAAATGTCCTTTCCTGAGAAAATGCGGTGTGAATGTTTACTGCACGATTTTAGCTGAAAGCTGCTGAAGAAGCTGAAATCAGCTGAAAAGGTTTCATGGCTAAACTGCCACTGCAGCTGAAGTTGGTCAGCTGACCTTTGCTGAAAGCTGAAGAAAAACAGCTGAAATGTCTAGAAAAGGCTGAATGGAGCAGAAGAAATAACCTGCAGCTAAAACAAAAAACTGAAAGGAGCATAAAACATTGAATCAATCAACAGGAAGTACAAAAGGTGGAAATTAACAAAAATGATAATAATAATAAAGCAAGCACAAAAAAGCTAAAATAAAACAAAAAATGCCTTAAAGTTGCAGGAAAAACAGGAAAAAAAGCTGAATTTAGCAGAAAGGAGCTGAAAAAAGCTGAAATTAACAATAAAAGGTTTTAAACAGCTCAAATGATTGAAGGTGGAGAGCTGCATTCATTTTCAATGAGAAAAACATGGCTGAACAAACTAAATGTTTTAAAAAGTAACAACTGCACAAATATCAAGTCACCGTCCTAAAAACGCTGAATGCTTTGATATGAATGATTGAAATAGCTCATAAAATGTGTAAATTGATGTGACACATTTTATGACCGTTGTCTTCTGTAACAATTATAGTAAAAAAAAAATGTCCTTTTATGAAGCACAGTGGAAAATGTTCTTTATTCAATGATCGTGGCTTCATTTTGAGAAACTTTCATCACACTTTACTCGATAAATCGAATACTTTATTCAGTGTTTTGGACAAATATTCATCTTTATTTAAATAAATACCATGTATTACACATTTGTTCCAGGTAAAGATTTAGTTTGCGCCACAGGTGGTACTTTCTACAAGGACACTAAATTTTGCGAGAAAAGCATCTGCTGATTTATCAGATCAGATCTTTTTTGGTTTATAGCTATGAACTATTCTAATTCTGCTGCTGCCATCTTATTGTTTAAATAATTAAGAAGAAAAAAAGTCTAATTGTCCTTAAGGATTTGGGGTTTCCAGGTTGTTAGGTCAAATCCAACAATTGGAGCCAGGACTGCAGCAACAGTAACTGATAACTGAAAATGCAGTGTGAATGCTTATTACTGAAGAACTTGATGAAAAACAGCTGAAATTAGCTAAAAACTTGCTGAAATGTATAGCTGAAATGAAAGAACAAGCCTAAGTTAGTAGAAGAAAGCAGGAAGAACACATAGTTGCTGAATTGGGGTTAAATAAGCAGAAATGAACACAGTAAATTAGCTAAAAAGGCTGAAATTAACAAAAAATAGCTGAAAAGTAGCTGAAAAGGCAGAATTAAACCACCAGAAGGAAGTGGAAAGTGCTGAAATGACCTCGAAAAATGTGAAATTAGCTGAAAAAGCTAAAATTAGCATAAAACAGCTAAATAGTAGCTGAAATAGCATAAATAGCTGAAACTTGCAAAAATAAGCTGAGAGTAACAAGCTGAAATTATCAGAAACAAGTTAGAAGCATGTAGTTAGTAAAAATAATCTGAAAGGAGCACAAAACAGCTTAAATCAGCTGAAAGTAGCTGAAAAAAGTTTAAATTTGCACAAAGAAGCTGAAGCAGAACAAAACGTGAAAGGAGCAGTAAAAGGCTGTAAACAGACCTAAAGATGTGAAGGATGTAAAATGAGCTCATTTAATTTCCTAGGAGAAAAAAATGGCAAAAAAGGCTAAATATTTCAAAACGCTAAAGTTGCACTAATACCAAAAGCCATAGCAGGATTGTCCTGAAAGAGCTGAATATTTTTTTGATATATGAATTGTTGAAATAGAACAAAAATTGTAGAACGAGAAAGACGCTGAAAAACAAGCGCAAGAAAAACGAATCCCAATAAAGTGAATGCTTCAGACTAATGCCAAACATGAGGCTCCTAAATAAACTCAAATACAGCCAAGAGGGTTTAATTTGTAACATTTGCACTTTTAAATTTGAACCCATTTGTTTTAAATAACTTCCATCATTGTCTATTCAACCCAATTTGCCATCAAATGCAACTATTCATTTCTGAGAAACACAGAATGGTAAAACTGTTAAAAGGAAAGTTGCCCGATTTTTTTTTTTTCTACAAAACTAGATTTTTCTGAGGCTGTTCTGCAACAAAACCAAAGAAATCTTCACATTTAAAAAGCAGTGATCCATGTAACTGTATATCAAATAAAGACACGGACCTTCTAAAGTTTAAACTTTATTGAATGTACACGGTACGTGTCAGCTTTTAGATTAACTTTATGACATTCGTGTTGCAGAGCAAATATTTAAGCAGAAAACACACTTCACGCCCCGCAGAACATCTGTCCACGCCTTAAACGATAATGCTCGTTTCATAAACCGTAACGATCCTCCAGAGCTGGCAGGTGTCCACAAACGAGCACAAAAAGTCCACAGAAGCAGGAAGTGAAGCCGTTTAAGCCGATGTTGCTGTCGGCAAAGTCTCTTGGTAAGCTGCGGGTCGTGCAGGCGTCGGCTAACACAAACTGAAGCTTTGCTCTGAAATACAACTACGTGTTGGAACATAAAGGAATGTTGCACGATGTCAAGCATAACAAAAGTGTTCAAACATTAGAACGGGTTTGTCTGAATAAGGTTCTAAAGTTCCCAAAAAGTTAAAGGAACAAGTGAAACGTTATAAAATCAATGCAGTTTTCACTGTAGCCTTGAGGTTTTCAGCCCTCTGATGCTTCAGTCTTTTCTCTGTCCTCTCAAACCTGAGCTGGTTCTGCTGGAGGTTTCAAGCCTCAACAGGAAGCTGGTCCTCTCCAGTCGCTCTGTGCACGCTCAGGATGAGGCTGACGCACTCTGCACGTTTCCTCAGACTGAAAGCACCTCACTCATTGGTCACTTGTAATATTCTGAATCCGTCTCATATTTTAACGGAGCTGAACCGATGTAACTCGATATAACCGAGGCTTGCTGCTGTTTGCATTAGAGCCCTGAGAGGACGTTAGTTGTGAATTGGGGCTCGATGAAACTGAAAATGTAAATATTTTCTGCCTCCAGTCATCAGGTAGAGTTACCACCGGAGAGCAGAATTTAAATTTAAAAAATAAAACAAGAAAACTGAAGTGAGGCTGTTTGTGATAATCCTGCATCACCGCTTCGCCTTCCATTTTATTTACCAACTGTTTTTATTTGTCAGTCGTTGTGTTCACTAATGTTTGTCCATGTGCACCACACGCTAATTTTGTCAATAAACTAGCTTGTGTTAAAACTTTATAAACAAAGTAACAGAACAAATATTCTCCATGTGAGGTGACAAACTGGCTGTCACCATCCTCTGTGCCAAAGCTGGACCAGTTTGGTTAAATGGACCCATCTGAAGGAGTTGGTGGAAGATGCACGCTGCCTCCAACGATCAGACATGCCCTGCGGAACACCTGTCCGTGCTCTGCTTCACCTTTGGGACAGGCAGTTTGTCACTTGAACACAGTCACAGCTACATTTAGTGTTGGGCTTGTTCGCACCTAGAAATATTATTTTTATACAATCGTTTCTGTCCGATATGTCACAACCTACACAGCTGTGTCACTTTCCTGTGGTTATTGATGTGACGATATTCTGAATATGCTTGGTTACTTTATATATATATATATATATATATATATATATATATTAAAAAAAGGTTTGCACCATCACATCACCTTTTCAAAAATTGAAAGATTTTCATTTGGAAGTGGTTGCACGTGAAGGAAAAAAAAAAACTTAGAAAAATATTGGGTTTTCTTTGAAGCAGCTGCATAAAACGTTGTGGCAAAAACAACAAAACGTAAATATAAAATTACAACGGGAACAGACTGAGTTTTGAAGGTCCTCACACAACGGCACACTGATGAGCGCAGTAAAAACTAAAGCCGCCATCAGAAGAGATTTTTCTCCAAACAGCTGCAGGTCAGAAGAGTTTTAGTCCATTTTCAGGGCGAGTTCGTCAAAATGTTGCACCGAAAACTTTTCTTCAAATGACAGCTGTGAGATGACAACTTGTATCAGTACTTTTCATAAAGTTATATAAAACACTAGAGTGCACTCTGCCCATCGTTTACATTTGTGACATCACGGAGAAGCAAAGGTAGAAACGGGCAGCTGACAACACATCTGTTTCATTAACAGCAGCTGGACCCGTGGCACAAATTACATGTTCTAGAAGGAAAATCTATATTGGGTCTAATTAATGATGATCTAAACTGGACCTGAAGTCAGTCAATAATTACTGTAAAGACTTTTTAGCTGCTTGAATAATTATGACCTCAACTAGTTGATGAATTTGAACGTTTTAACGTTAACTGTGTTTATGTAGGCTCTGCTACTTGCAGCTAATAGCAATATATAAAATAATAGCAGGGATCAGCGTCTAATTTATACGTTAAAAATTGATATATTATTGTAAATATTAAAACAACCAGAGGAAATACCAGCTTGTACTATTTAATAATTTGTACTAAAGCCTGTACAGCATAGCAATATCTGCCACAGAAACTAACATCTACGTTCAATAATTAACAGCCATTATATCAGATTTAAGGGCTACTTTTAAACAATTATATTATTAGTTTCAATTCTGGTCGGATCACGTTCACTCCGAGGTAAATAAGATCAAATCTGCTGACATGTGAAAGGAGACGTTTTCCATTTTCTCTTCTGCTAACATCCGTAGCACACACAGCATTCTGGCGTTATGTTTTGATATACATTCTAATATTATTACATTTATTTTTAAACGTTTTTTACATGGACAGCCTACTCAGAGCTTTTAGTCAAAACGTCTGACGTTTGACAGCTTTGGTAATGGCTGCTGTTGCTGCAGTGAATCATAAGGTCACATGACCAGTGCACCCTCTAGTGTTTTGTATAACTACGGTTCTTTTGCGCTCGCAAATTTACAAGAAATTTCACAGCAAGTGGAGGACTGGCAGTCTAAGCTATTGTTCTACGGAAGTGGACGGCCTACTCCAAAATCTAAATCTTGTCGCACATTACAAGAGGTTAAAGTGTCCTGGGCAACGTCGACCTGTTCAGGTGAAAAATACTTGTCAGTCATGTCTTTGTCACTGCATGAAAGGCTTGAAAAGTTACAGGGAAGGCACAGATATGGCGCTTTGCCACCGTCTCAACTCTTATCGGTTCTGCACCACACTGTACCAGTTGAGTCCACTCACTGTTGGTACCCACCCCCACTCAGCCCGGGTTATGGGGCCATCTTGTTTGAGGTTCCAAGTGGACTGCTCCGAGGTGATTATATTGATGCAAGTAGACACCAGAGCTACATCACTGGATGACCCGCCCAACAAAACTGCAAACTACACTGCCTGGCCAAAAAAAAGTCCCCACCAAAAAAAAAATAAATAAAAAAAAGGCCACACACTAATATTTTGTTAGACCACCTTTAGCTTTGACTACATCGTGCATTCACTGTGGCGTTGTTTCAATAAGCCCCTGCAATGTCACAAGATCCATTTCCATCCAGTGTTGCATTAATTTTTCACCAAGATCTTGCATTGATGACTAGACACTAGGCATGATGGGTGCATCACTTCACCTGCCTCTCTTCTTACCCTGATGCACCCATCACTCTGGAACAGGGTCAATCTGGACTCATCAGACCACGACCTTCTTCCATTGCTCCAGAGTCCAATCTTTATGATCCCTAGCAAATTGAAGCTTTTTCCCCCTGTTAGCCTCACTGATTAGTGTGTTTTTTAGGTTACACAGCTGTTCAGTCCCAATCCCTTAAGTTCCCTTCACATTGTGCGTGTGAAACTGTTCTTACTTTCACTATTAAACATGGCTCCTGTTGTATTTCTTCCATTTGATTTCACCAAACGTTTCAGTTAAATCCAGGTGGCAACTTTTTTGGGGGCCAGGCAGTGTACATCTGAACCCTCCTCGTGTTGATGGACAAGAAATGAGCACATTTACAGAGAGATATTGGAGATAATGGTGCAGCATGGCTACGTCTGGTCTTATAAGCAGTGCCTGGAAAAGCTAAAGAAACTGAAGTCCGATTGAGGACCACAATGGACAGAGTGGCTCGAACACAATGACCTGTTATGACACCGCCCAGTTTGCAGTGATGATCCCAGCCAGAGAGCCAGGAAACAAGTCACAGTGGCAAATCACCTCCACTTGAGAAGAACCGATAAGACGAGAGCCGAGTGGAGTCGCACTCATCGATGGAAACACAGCTTTAGAATACGTTCTTACTGAGGTCTGTAACCATTCAACTGAGGCATGTAGCTGGACACAGATCCTGGTTCGACATCAGCCGACTGGTTCTCTGACGGCATCGTCCACTCAGTGTCCTCTTCAATTGGGCAAAAGTCCTGCTGGTCCAATTCCATCTGCTTGAAGTCATGTGGGTTGGTTGTTTCTTGGTTCTCTGAGCTGTGAGTGAAGCGCATCTGGAAGTGTCTGCCACCCTCTTGCACCAACATGTCCGGGTTCTCTTCAGAGTCCAGCAGTGGCTGCGTGGACTCTGACCGAGAAAAAATGGAATGCTGCGGTTGCAAGTTGGGGGTCTGACCCTTGTAACCGCTGGAAGCCACAACCGAGGAATACTGAACAGTGCTGGCGGTGGTGTCGGCCATGTCGGCGCCCTCATCACTGTCAGACACACTCTGGCGAGGCGAGGACATGCAAGAGGAGCCGCCAATGCCACTGCTGTGCTCCTCAGAAAGATATTTGTCCTTCTTCAGAGAAAGGCTGGTCTTGTCCTCCTCAAAGCCATGCTTCAGCTCATCCTCATCAAGCACACAGACACCAGATAAACAGTTCTCCTTTGGAGTCTCTGCCTGTGGAGGAAAACGAGTTCAACTGAATCAAATCAAGGTAAAAACAAGATTAAAAATTGACCTACCTATTCACACTCAGTGTCCTTGTTTTATTTGAATGCAAAATAAAAATGCTAAAATTGCATCTTCAAATCTAAAACTGGTATCAAGAAGAACAGAGAGTCCTTCAACGCCTCCTCTTTTCTGTGTCGGCTGCCCTGCATGGTACAGTTCCTCTCCAACTCAAGGCATTCAGTCACCATCAAAGATTTATAAATGGCTGTTAATGTTTACCTTCAAGGGATAATCTGGAGTCCAGTTTCCAATGGTGCTCTCACCAGGGTTAGGAATCTGAGGCCAGAAGTTCTCCTTGATGCTGTAAAAGAGAAACAGTGGACATTATAGAGCTACCAGCTGAGCAGAACGTTAGAACACACTTTTACATTTATAATAAATCTTCGATCGATATGTTCAAACTAGTTCAGGAAACAAGATGCAACTTTTGACCTTGGTACATACAGCCACACTTAAAACGGTAACTTACACATCCTTTTTGTAGAGACAGAGCACGACGGTCACGAGAACCAGAAACAGAAAACCAATGCTCACTCCGACCACAATGCCCTCAACCATTCCTGGTGCTGGGAGGAAAATGGGACAGATGTAACACCATTTACAACTCTACTATGGCAGAATTGTTTAATACAAGTTCAAAACATATTCTGCTGTTAATTCTAACAAATACTTAAGACAACACTCCTGATTAAACATATAAACCCTACAACATTTAGAAAGTTAAGGCTTTGTCAAGTGTAGTGTATTACTGTGTAATTCAGTTGCTGGGGTCATTTAACACAGAAGAACTGAAAACATACAGATATTTTAGAGCTGCTTTATACAACAGGCTCCTGACCTTATTCTAAACATAAATAGATAGTTATGTGATGGATATTTTAGTGGCCTGGGTCATTTGATTAATATGAAATGTCTAATAATTTAAAGATGCAAAACATTGGACAAACTGGCAGTACTTGTTTTAATGACATGCTTCAGAAAAAAAAAGTACTTATGCATGCACAATATTTTCAAAGGACTGTATATGGAGTCATGGACTGACCATATTTTAGAGTGGTGAATGAGTGACGAGCGCTCTCTGCTGAACCACTGATGGTTGAAGCTTTGATCCACACATCATACTTGGTGTTGCCCACCAGTGGCTTCAGGGTGTGGGAGGTGGTGTTAGATGGGACTGTTACAGCTGCAGGGGAGCACAAGAAAAACCAACAACTTAGTCTGGCAGATGAAACCCAGTTTAAACAATCTCTCCTGTATTCTAGAGCTGCACTGATTACTCCTATGAGTTTGCTTTTGACTGGCCTAACTAGATGCAGGCAGATGACTAAAAACGGTTTTTCCAGTCATATGCACTATGGTTTAAAAAAAAAAAAAAAACATCTTCCTAGCACAGGATGTTTTTGTTACACAAGTTTTTATTGATAAAGAAAGACAGTCAACTATTTGTAGTATCTGTAGAAAGCATGAGGCATAAGAAGCTCCAAAAAGACAATAAGGATTTAGATGTTAAGTGCATGCGTCAGTGCAATTTATAGTTTTCCATTTCAACCTCCACTAAAGCTAATTATTAATTTTTATTCCAACAGTTCATTTTTTGAGATCTGCAATTTAAAAAACTTCAAAAATTTTATTTTTTTGTGCAAATGGTTACAAATTGCCTGTTTTGTTTAGTCACTTTCCAATGAACAAAACCGATCCTTTAAATAAAAATCATTTACAATGCTGGAAATGATTTAAACTTTGGAGCTCTTTGTGAAACATTCATTCTGTCTGATGCGTTTTCAGTAGATGTGCAGTTTTCCAGTCCAGCCAGAATTTGTTTAAACATCTTCAATCGAAACATCTCTACAGCAAATTGCAACAAAGTGGACACTTATTAAAAATAAACAACTCCTCTAACTATACTTGCAACAGTTACTTACACCGTGTGCCTTTCTCATTTTTATACAATATAGTGTAGTTTTTGATGAAGCCCCGTCTCAGAGGCAGTGGAATCTCATCCCACACCAGCTCAACTCGATCATATCCTGGGCTGCTCTTGTTGATGGACGGGCCCTGTAGTGGAGCTGCAGCCAAAACAACATGTTAGCTGATCATTCACTTAAAGTAAACACAGACGCACTAAATTAAAAACAAAAATCCCCTTGGAACCATCTCTCTGCAACTTGAAAACTGAAATCCAATCAAAACACCACACTGGTTATGGATTTTCAGTTGTGGTCAGCGAGTACTTAAAGGTTGTGAAAACAATCTGTTCAAGTCAAACCACTCACTGATCTGCTTAATCTGTGAAACAGTCATAACATTTCCTCCTAACTCTTCCCAATAAAAGCATCCCATTGATTCAAGAGTGAAGAAGTTTGAGGAAATCAACGAGTTATATGTAAATAATCATAAAGCAGGTATTAGACAAAACAAAACATCAGTAAGGAAAGAAAATAACTACAACCACAAAGACTGAAAAAGAAAAATCACTTAAGTAGCTTAATGAGTGATAAATGCAGAACAATACAACATGGATTTTTTTGCTCTCACGTAAACATGGTTTTACAGAGTTAACATTTGTCTTAAACGAATTCCCACTTCAAATATAAACATTGTGACAGCACAACTGAAGGATTTTTGTTACAGGTAAGCAAGTCCACAGCATATTTACTCAGATTTAGTTTAAGCCATCCCAATACAAAATGCAAAACACTGAAGTAGTACAGATTTCAAATTACCGTAATTGTCTGTGTATAAGTTGCTACTTTTTGCTCACACTTTGTACCCTGCGGTTTATATGCAGGAGTCTTGTTTATGTATTTTTTTCATAATTTTAATAATTTCCATTTTATTTTGACACTTCCTGCAGTTTCTCGGCAGCTTCCTGCTGCTGACTAACATTTTTCCTTTGACAGAGCTGGGGGGCCGTTCGGCCACCCAGCGCCCACCTCTCTTGGGGGCAGGCTTTTGTTAAACACAGAGTGAATGCCCTCAGGTAATCAGATCAGACCCAGAGCCTCTCCCTCAATTTTAGATTTCCTACCCATAACTCCACCCACTCTGTCACAGTCTAACCTTAATGACCAATAAAATACCTCTTCAATTCTGACACCGAAAAACAGGACTTTGATGGTTTCAGTGCACAGGAGGACGAAAAACAGAGATGAGAGACTTTTGGTTGACTGTACTTTTTTTTTTTGCCGTGTTAAAGCCCCCCCACCCCGGATCACGACGTGGCTCTGCTGAGTGGAAGTCGTCTAAGCAGTCAAGTCTGTACATATTTTAATAAAAGTTTTCAAAATCTTTCTGTGTACGGTAAATATGTGTTTACATACCGGGATCTCATTTTAAGCTCACATTCGAACACATTAAACGCAGCAGAGACAACAGGAGGGGCTCTTCCCATTTCCTCCCCCTCATGTGAGCACAGCGAAGGAGAAGTCAAATCAGATTTATTTTTCAAGCAGTCAGTTGGTGAAGACTGGTACATATTTAAATAAGTTTTTTTTTTTAATCTGCGTACAGTAAATATGTGTTTAAATACCAGTATCTCATTTAAGCTCATCTGACACATGAAACTGAGCGATGGAGACAAGGGGAGGGAGGGGCTGCTCCCTTCCTCCCTCCTGCTCATATGAGCAGTGCTAAGGAGAAATCACGTCAAATTTATTTAAGATAATACAAGATCATTTATAAGTACATTTAAAAACAGCTGTTGTTACCAATACTGTCAACAATAAAAATCAATGGCACTAATTTAATGAATATTTACCGTATTTTACTGGTACTATTTGACTTTTGGTCACGTGCCCTTGATAAGACTTCTGGGTAATATTTACCAGTAAATAGTTTTTAAATAATTTTGGTTACGTAGGAGTTTGGCACTGTTCTGTCCAGTGATTATGCTTAGATAGTGTTCATTTTGTAGGTTGAATGGATTTAACCATGAGTCAGACAGCAAAGCTTCGTGAAGACTTCTGACGATCATGCAGTCTGAACTTGTTTGAAAACAAGCTAGATTCTGTGAAGCGCCATCCGGTGGCTGATTCTGGTACTACAACAAGAAAGCTGCACACTGCAGGAGCTGGCTGGGCACAGTTCCTGACAACGAAAAGGTGGAGGTCCGCGGTTGAATAACCAGAGCATCTTTAAGTACAAAATTATGATTTATCTTATATTTAGTATGTGCGGTTTAGAGACAGGTGTGTTCTGTAGTCAGGGAATTACGGTAATAGATAAAAGTAAGTGACATAAACAGACCTCTGAGAAGAAAAAAAATAATAAACTGTTGCTTCATTCACTGAAGATGTCTTACCTCCTTGCACCAAAAAGGCTTCTTTACTGGCTGGTTTTCCGATCCATCCCGAGTATATTGGATAAACAGACACATTATAGCAAATAAAGTGCTCAAGGGCCCCTGGATTTGACAATGAATACAAGAGGTAACAGTTTTAATAAATACAGGGTTGATAGTTTTTGAGCAACAAACAACTATTTTTGAGTATGGGCATCCAAAGTTTGTGAACTCTCCAAAATGCAGAAGAAGTTTAATGCATTTAAGATTTTTAGAAAGGTTTGTTTATTTCTACCTACTGTATATTACAGTCGTTTCAGAAAGACTGCAGCAAAAGTGCACTAAGCTGAATGATTTCTGCACCAGACATGGGCTGTCCATACTACACACACATTCAAACATGGGGTGCTTTTTAGTTATTTTTGGTGAATGAGCACAACCAAATATACTACTTCTGACAAAAGACAGACTCTGTTTGCTCAGATAAACACAAACTGTAAGAGATGATAAAATATCACATTATTAAAGAGAATATTAGTACGCTCTAACTCATAAGAACAAAAACATTACCTTTAATTACAGTCTGTCTAGTGGTTTTATTTTCTCTCTGCCAGTCTATTTTCCCATCGCTGACCCATTCGATGACATACTCGGACACAGCTGGGGCATCGTGTTTCCATTCTACAAACAGCTGACCATTATGAGGCAAAACAATCATGTCTTTAATTGGTACACGATCTGTAATGAGAAAACAAAAACTAATGTTACCCTAAACCAAACAAGTGACATCACATCATTGATGGTACGCTGTACAGACCTAATGTGTCCCATTTCTAATTCAAAAAGTCCTGAGCTCAAGGAGTTACATCTATTTTCATCAAAACTTTTTCAAAGTGGAAGTTTTTATTCTTTTCACCTTTAATACTTAATGTGTTCTAATTTTCTCAATTAAGACTTTTTTGCAATCCCACTGAAGATGTGCTTAAAACAATGTGAATGTGTTTATACTGCTGTGAGTAAATACGTACTCTGGCTTAAATTTTACTTTTTAAAAGTGTTTAAGAGTGCAGCCTAAACCTCAAGAGTTACCAGAGTCACCTACCAAGGGGTTTTGAGAAGATAGCCAAGCACGCCTCAGGAGACGCCCCCACAGAATTGATGGCAGCAACGCACACAAATGCAAACTGTTTCCCACCAAAGGAAATCCTTTTTAGCCGATGTATGCTCCTCGTGTTAGATCTGCTGTCTGAGTTGACTGGGATACTTTCTACAGCCCAACTGTCATTCTTCAAGCTTTTAAATTTCATAACAAATGACGTTATTTTCCCATTGGCAAGTTCAGGATCCTGAGAGAGAACAATCAAATACTGTTACCAATTCAAGAAGTAGGAAACTACAAAGTGTATTAAAAAAACAAAAAAACAATTGCTGTACATAGTTTGAGCTATTTGAGGGTTTAGGTCTACATGACAATCAATGTAGGTCACTATTTTCATTTATTTAATTAAACTGTTGTTTTAAATAATGTTTGTAAGCTAATTTAAAAATAAATGTTGCTAGTTCTAACTTGGCTTCAAAATGATGCTACTATGTGATATTACTGTGAATTATTATAAGCATAAGGACAATAAAGACCGTTTTGACTTCTTTGTAATGTAGAGAAATCAAAACGGTGCTACTTTCAGAGCTTTTCTCTTCTTGTATTGTTAAGCAAACATTGACAGCTGTCACCGTTAAAATATGAGTGATACTGAGCCATGTCTTTCTGAGCCAGTGTGTTCATAAATACACCGGATAATAAAACGTTATATTCATAGACACAAAAGAAACAAATAATTTGGCTTTTGTCTGTTCTAATATTTGTTATCAGCAGTAGCCACTGAAAAATCCTAAAGCAGCCTCCTGCTTAAAACATGTTAAGAAAAAGTTTAGTGTTTTCATGTTTCACTAACTGTAATAATAATACTATTCTGCCAATATTCAGTCAATGAGATATAAAAGTTTACCTTAGAAATGAGTTGCACTTCTTGTTCATTCATGCCACTATCAACAATTTTCCATAAATCTGGTTTACTTGAAGGTTCTGGAGCAAACAGAAAAAAGAAAGAAAGAACAGGAAGTCTTCACAGCACGTCTGACACACTCACACCTCTGTACGTGGGTGGTATCAACAAGTTTTCTTTTAACCATTCTGACTTTTAAAGATCGACCGTGGCTGCACAAAGGTTGGCACTGGCCAGATAGCACATGCAGTCGAGAGAGGAAATAAATTGTGACTTCTTTGTATACAAAATAAAATATCAAGATCTGTTAGAACCACTGTAAGGTGAAGTGGAAAACATTTCATAGCTTGTAACACCTGGCTAAAGACAGAAATGTAATGAAAACAAATTATGTACGAGTCACTTTGTGTTATAAATGTGAACTGGTAGCCACAATACTCACGACCCTCTGCAGTTCTTGTAGTTTCATTCGAGCTCCAGTTGCTCCAGTAACCACAGTTCTTACGATATTTGCAGGACATCTGAATGACATAAACTGTGTCTGGCCGAAGATTCTGCAGTCTGAAAGAATTTGTAGGGTTTGCGGTGTCTTCAGGAGGAACCTGTAAAAGACAAATCACAGCCCTGTAATCCTGCCACACAAAACTATGCAGATAATAAATACTTAATTAAAAGAAGAGGGACAAAAGAAACATAAAAATACAAGCTAAATAAATGCTTAAATGCTGCTTTAGGGTTTGTTAAGCTGTACTTATAACAAAACAATACGAGGTAGCTTTATATGTGAAATATACATCTTAATAATTAGGATGTAAGTGAACATACAATTGTTTTTT